ACTGGTAACTGCGTTGCTCTCAATTCTTCCTTCTCCCTAAGTCCTTCTTCCAAGTTTTACAGCATCCTGAAATCTTAAAGTCTTACAGTCTTCTTGCCTCATTTTAAAATCTTTTTGTAAGTGGCTTCACAGATATAGAATATAGTAATTCCCAGGACTCAGGATGACCCATTTGGGGCTGGGTTAAGTGATAAAAATGGATTAGATGCCCACTCAAAAGAAGCATCATCGCCAGCAACAGGAGACACATTCCCCTTCCATACTTGTACGTTCCTTATTGCAACCCCGTGGAACCGGCCAGTAGTCCCCTGTCCCCACAGGAAAAAAAAATTCTGTAGCTCTTTGAAACACAATGAAACATAAAACATGGCATTTCATGAAGCCAGTTTCTTAATTATGGAATCTAAGAAGTCACAGTTTTAGTTACTTTGCAGCTAGACTAGTAGTTTGTCATTGTTGTTTTACATTAAGATGGAAACCAAAAGCAAGATAACCTGTGAGCATCACCTTGTAGAGAGATTTACAACCACCACAGCAGCTTGGACCCCATCAATCTTCATTCACTGAATTAATGTGCTGGTGCTGGGGAAAGGGCAATAAACAGATAAAAATCCTTGGAGTCCTGGAACTTACTTCCTAGTGGGAAGACAGAAAATAAAGATCAGTAAGGGGAATATATATTAGATGTGGTGAGTGCTGTGGAGGAAAAAGCAAGGATGAGAGGATGAGAGGCAGGACATGGGAATGCAATTTAAAATTTAAAATCAAGTAGTCAAAGACCTTACTGAAGAGGTGATATTTAAATAAAGGCTCTAGAGAGAGGAAGGGGCCAGTCATGCAGTTACCTGGGATAAGAGCCATTTAGGTAGAATGGCACGTGCAAAGCCCTAGCCCTAAGTGGAAATATGGGAGTGAATTTGAGAAATAGCATTGAGGGCAATGCCCAGAGTGAGCGTGGAGGAGATGGCAGAGTCAGAGGGAAAGCAGGGGCCCGATCACACAGGGGCCTTTCCGGTCATAGTAAGGATTCAGCTTCTACTCCCGATGAGATAGGAGCTTCAAGAGGCTTTGAGCAGAGGAGTAAGGTGATCTAACTTCCTTTTTAACAGGATTGCTTTGATTAAAGGAGTTGGAGACAGAAACAGGAGATACTGCCTTTAGACCCAAGCAAGAGGGGCCCCTGCCCTGGGCCCCATGTTGTACGGGGTCCTGCATAAAACAAACTCACAACATGTACATTTATGATAGTACAGGGCGTCCTTCTTAGTGATCAGGCTCAATTCCGGCACAGAACAGCCTGCAGTCTTAAATATGTATTCCCATGACTACCACATTTTAGACCCTTTTAGACTCTTCTCCACACCTCTTGCCACGTGTGCATCAAACAAAAGGTGACTGCCCCCAAATGCCATCAAGGCTGCAAACATGGGAGCTGGACACTGCTTAGGAACGTGGGGAGGATTTGAGAAATGGATGTGCCTAATTAAGAGAAGTACGACTTCACTTACTTACTTCCTCTTGGAGAGCATAAGTGCCATAGATAACAACATATTATGTCTCAGTTGTGCTGAGAGTCCATTTCCTTGCTTCTCTTTGTGTTCCAATTCAGCATTCTTGAGATATTCACGAATGGCCCAGGGTTTGCAATGGTTGCATACTTAATGGCTAGAAATATTAAACAATTCATATCTCTCTAAATTTGTATTTATGCAGGTCCAAACAAAATTCATGCTAGAGCTAAATTCTAGAATATTGTTTCAAGAGATGACGAAAATGGCAATATAAATGATCATAGTTTATAGGATGAAATTTAAATATTTTGAAATATTGTTTACAATAGTGGTAATGTATCATCTGCAACCCCAATTACAATACTTGAACATGATATGTAGAAGTTGTGGTTCTTATTGCTAGTTCAGATGAGCAAAGTTTCTCCAAACTGAATTGAAATTAATATGTTTAATTAATTTTTAAAATACAAGGACTCAACAAGAGTGGTCTAATTTGATAAAACTATCAATAGAACATCAATTACATGGAAATCTTGGTTATGTGGCATATATTTTACTGAAATTAAGTTTTAAAAATAACATCTACAGGATAGACATATAGTAATTCATAACTTAAACTCTTTCTATACTCATCCAAATATCACCTACCCATTAAGAGAAAACCCAGACACACACAATAGTAATTCAGTCATCTGTTATGTTTTGCTTACTGTTGGCCATATAAAAATCATTAATTGTTTCTTACTTTTTCAACATAAGAGTATACGTTAAAGTAGGAGGATAGAACATATTTTAAATAACTTTGTTAGATAGACTCATAAAGTTCAAATATTTAGATATTTATTATGTTGGGTCCCATTTGTATTTTGGCCCCTTGTATCTTAGGGAAATCCAATTTGGAGGTTACTGTAATAAAAAAATCCTGGCAATAAATGATGGTGGTCTCATCAGGGTATGGCAATGGAGATGTGAGAAGTCATCAAATTCTGAATACTTTCTGAAAGAAGCACCAGAAGGATTCCTGACAGACTGGATTTAAGTGTGAAAGGGAAGAATCAAATGACACAAGGTTTTCAGCCTGAGCATCTCCATAAAAAGTTGCCATTATGTGAGCTAGGGCAGGATGTAGGAAGAGCAGCTTGGGGAGACTTTCAGAAGCTTGTTTTGTCATGTTAAGCCTGAGATGTATTTTAACTCTCAGCAGTTGTTTTTTTTTTTAATACATTTATTTATTTACTTACTTACTTACTTACTTTTGGCTGCATTGGGTCTTCATTGCTGTGCACAGGCTTTCTCTAGTTGCGGCAAGCGGGGGCTACTCTTCGTTGCGGTGCGTGGACTTCTCTTGCAGTAGCTTCTCTTGTCGCAGAGCATGGGCTCTAGGTGCACGGGCTTCAGTAGTTGTGGCACGCGGGCTGAGTAGTTGCGGCTCACGGGCTCTAGAGCGCAGGCTCAGTAGTTGTGGCACACAAGTTTAGTTGCTCCACGGCATGTGGGATCTTCCCGGACCAGGGATCGAACCCGTGTCCCCTGTTTTGGCAGGCGGATTCTTAACTACTGTACCACCAGAGAAGTCCTCTCAGCAGTTTAATACTCTGGGGAGGCATTCAGGGGAGAGGTCAGGATATGCAACAGTCATTAGGGTAGGAGCAGGATATGGGTTGCATTCAAATCCTTGGGATGCAAGACATCCACTCTTTGTTTTTGGGCTTTCAACGAGATGGAAGACATGGTATAGTTTAAAGAAGGGACATTGTTGTGCCACTTCACCCTTGTAGCAGAGAGTGGCGTACAGAACCCAGAAGTCACCTCCCAAAGCCATCCCAAAGGCTAAGAACTTCCTTAGTTGGGATGCCCTGAGGAAAATTCATAACTAACCACCAACCCTGGATCCTAACCCTAAACTCTTAAGTTCAGACTTCCTATAAAATGTTTACCACAAACACACATGTAAGACACCGCTGGATATCATAAATCCTCCATGTGAATTTTTCCTCTCTTACTGGCCCTCTGCCCAGCTGCCTTTTGCATCACATCCTTTGATGTGGTTTCTCTTCCATCTTCCTAGGTTAGTTGATCTCAGCCTCCCAAATCCCTCCAACCCAAAGATGGAGAAGGCATAAAGAAAGAAATATATCTATAAGAAAATACAGAGAGACAAAACTCTAAGTTCCTGGAATCTCTTCACTAACCCGTCCTCAAACTGGAAAAGAAAAGTCTAAGTGCAAATATCGCTGTTTTAATCATTTGTGAATTCTTACTCTCCCTGTGACAAATACAAGCAAAGCCACAATTAAAGCAATATTGCAATCTAAATAGAGAAGAATTGCTGAAGCAAGGGCTAAATGTCAAGAGTAAACTTTATCCCAGCTTGCTGGGTAATCTTTGGATGAGAAACAAATGCAACATTTCCAAAATTGGCATCTTACAGAACGCTGTTCCATGGGATGCTGCTTGATGAGTTCTATACTCAAAATAAATATAGTATCACTGGACAAAACAAAATTAAACAAATTTCTTTTCTGTGGGAATATCAGGGACTACACTAACATGCTCTATGAATCTTTAAAAGGGAGATAGAATATAGCATTTCCAACATTTGTTTGACACAGAACCCACTCTTTGCAGTAGCTCATAATAACAACTTCCAGTAATGGTTTTCCTCTGAACACAGTTTGAGAAGTACTATTCTAATATATATATACATATATATGAAGATCAAAAATAAATTATGTTTTTCAGAGTTTGTTTATCTGGCAGAGCAAGGCCAAAATGTTTCCCATCACTCACTCACTGATTTGACTCACCAAGATTTGCAAATCTGCATAACTATATGCCTTCATTAAACCAAATTCAATTTAGAGTCAACAAATTCACTTCTTAATAAATGAGGCTGTTTAGTTATTATATATTCACAGCTTTAAATATTCACATTGCAAGTGAATTCCCAAATACCCACCTGTTACAGCAATGTTATCACTGAATAACTAGAATTAACTATTTTAGAGATGATGATAATGAAGCCAAAGAATTTATCCAAATTCAGTGTTCTTCCATGAAGAAAGGGCTGAAATTTTAGATCAATAATGATTTAATTTTACTCTGAAATCTTTGGGGGACATTCAGTTCTTCTAAGCACAATAATTAGATGAATAGCTGGATCTTTGCTATGATGAAGCAATATCTATATCAACTTTCTTTTTACCTTTTACCCAACACACAAGTCCATATAATACAGGTTTTTTATGAGCAAACCCTTACACACTGATTGATCCTAAAAATACTTTAGCTAGTCTTTACTATTCTTTCTGTGTATTCTCCCTGAATTAAACTAACATGGGAATAGTTCTATTTTGCGGGAAGGCAATCCTCCCAACAGAATTAGAAACTTTTGAGAAATACCTACCCATCATATGTCAGCTGTTAGCCTCACATTCACACTGAAAAGAGTTACACACATTTTTATGAGACAGAAAATATTTAGTAAGAATATATTTATTTATTACAAATTTCATTCATATTTTTGTATACAAATATTATTTAAAGGGCTTGAGAAATGCCATTATAATGCTAAATGAAAAAAGCTAGCTACAAAATTAATAGACACATGCTCTCAAATACATATAAATATTTTTTAAAGGTGATGTTCTAAAATAGGAATTATTGACTCTAGGTGATATAATTTTTTCTTAATTTTTCTGTACTATTTTTATAATCATGAAAAAAAATGAAGCTTACTTTTTTCAATAGCACTACCCAATGTTACCTGACTTATTCCACTAAACCCAAACTACAGCGTTGAAGATACAAGTTTATGGTGAAATGCCAGGGTTTTCCTCTGGGTACAAAAGGAACCCAGTAAAAATGCTATCATCCTCAGCACTGACATACACCCCATTCCAATCTTTTGAAACTTCCAGCCAGACTTGGTCCCCTGCTTTTAATTTCAAGATGATGAGGAGAGAGGCCTGGTCTATTTCATGACCATAGAGCGTTTCTCTGGACATGAACTGCTTCCTATTCCAGGCCACCAGGCTGATCTGAGCAGGTCGGCCCCTCACGGTGACGTGGTAGGAAAAAACATATGCCCCAGGAATACTACAGTTAAATTTCCCAGTGACAGGGCTGTAGTTCCCTTGGTCGTTATAGAGAACCTTGTCAAACTTGATAGGGGCATTTGGAGGGGGGAAAGGCTTGGATAAAGCAGCACTGAAAGCTGACTGTGGGACTCTGGCCACCTCCCCCTTGGACCCCTTGAGGCCCCGAGAGCCCTTCTTCCCAATAGACCCTCGGGCCCCTTTGCTCCCAAGTTCACCCTTTGGCCCTGCAGGTCCCACAAGACCAGGAGGACCCAACTCTCCCTTTTCTCCTTTAACTCCTGGATCACCTTGGGGCCCAGGCAGCCCATCTGAACCACTTTTCCCTTCCATTCCAATATCTCCTTTGCTACCTTTTTCTCCTTTCATGCCCTCCTCGCCTTTTTCTCCTTTTCCCCCCCTCTCCCCAGAATCTCCACAGTAGCCCTTATCCCCCATCTCCCCCTTGTCTCCCTTGGGCCCAGGCTCTCCATTCAAGCCTGGTGCACCCACAGCCCCTCGGTCTCCTTTATCTCCTTTGGTACCATTGGCACACGTGTCCCCCTTCGAGCCTTTTTGTCCTTTCACTCCTGCCAGGCCAATATTTCCTCTATCCCCCTTAGGACCAAGTCCACCTGAAATGGAAAAATTAAAATAATGGTTAAGGCTCACATATGGTATGACCATTATGCTATTATCAGAGAGCTCACAAAATGAAACAAAACCTCTTAACTGGAGCTGGAAACCTGCTTCTTGCCTGAGCAATGGCCATGCACAGGAGATTCTTACACTGAGCCATTCAAATCAAGCGACTCCCTCATAAAGGAAAGAGTTAATGCTACTGAGAAGCAACAGCTTATATTTAGATATTATATATCTAGTTTGTCTGTTTGTTTGACTTTTAAGATGATGAAGAATATTAGAACTATAGTTGCCCGTTGTGTTCCATTATACTTTGCATTTTGGCCCAACCCAGCTATTCTCCTAAATCTCCATATTGTCCATCCAAACCCAAAATCTTACAGGCAAAACACCTGCAACCCAGAAAGATTTAGAGGTCTTTTTCCCAAGGACAGCGAGAAAGAGGTGCAGAGTTCAGATACTTTTACCACTTCCAGACTCCTACACTAGTGCTGAAAACACTCCATCCAATCAGTACACTAAATTATTAGAAGATTATTACTAACTGATATTTCCATCTTACCTCCCTGATAACTTTAAATACAAACAGGAAGAAAATTAAGGGCCATACTGCACACGTGACTACACACAGTAGATATACTTTATATACTACCTGGTACTCCAGGTTTTCCTGGGTATCCTGGAACTCCGTTTGTTCCTTGCTCCCCACGTTCTCCCTTAAGTCCTAAAATGATACCAAGATTAACTTTTTTCTAACTGTATTAGCTATGATATAACAAACACCCATTTTACAACTGTGTCACATTCTAATGTTTCCTTTACCAAAATGTGTAAAGGTAAAACAAAATGGAAAAAGAATTTATTGAGCAACATTAGGAATATTTTATTCCAATTGATGGTGAACCATTTAAAGTATATTTGGAGGTAGTGCCAAATCTCTTCAGATTTCAGCTTTTCCCTCAGCATTCTTGTAGCTCTTCAAATCTCTTACAAAACCTATGACATTCTGCCTTACATTATGTATGTCTGTGTTTGTGCTCTTCTTATTACGAATTCTGAACGACAGTTAAAAGGTCCTCTTTTTTTATATCCCTCACAATGTGTGAGAGATCGTACCGTGCACCATATAAGCTAAAACACAGAGCACAACACTCTGCAGTCAGCTAAAACTATTCATGATAAAAACCCACACAGGGGGCTTCCCTGGTGGCGCAGTGCTTGAGAGTCCGCCTGCCGATGCAGGGGACACGGGTTCGTGCCCCGGTCCAGGAGGATCCCACATGCCGCGGAGCAGCTGGGCCCGTGAGTCATGGCTGCTGAGCCTGCGCTCCACAACAGGAGAGGCCGCAGCAGTGGGAGGCCCGTGTACCGCAAAAAAAAAAAAAAAAAAACTCACACAGGATAAAAAATATTGTCCTTGATATACATAAAGCACCAAGGAAAAGCTAATTTTCATTTTGTTTGGAAATTTTTTCATATACTCTTTGGGCAATTATAAAGCTGTGAAAATTCATGTTTGAAAAAATAAAAATATCTGGGCTTTTAGATATTTGCCATATTACCACAAAATGGACTTTTATACTGGGCCTGGCCAAAGGCCCATCCTGTTACAGTACAGCCACTCTAGATTTATTTTAATTGTAACTAATAATAGCAAAAATAACAGTAACAATAATACCTAACTCTCATTGAGCACTTACTTTGCACCAGGTAATGTTCCAAGCTCTTAACATGAATTTTTAAATTTCAAGCTTTTAGTTTAATATTAATTTTTATTTGATAATAAAACAGCCTCTCATATAACAGGGAGGCACATATAACAGAGCACATTTCATCAATTGGAATATTTTTCATTTACAAAAGTTTGTAGCATCTCCCATCAAGAAAGGTAGAGCACATATTTTTGTCACCACTTTCATCACAAAAGAAACTGAGGTATGAAAAAGTTTAGCAATCTGTACAGAGTCAAACATAACTGTATATAATATTGGTTGGCATCAACTTACCAGCCATATTATTTATGATATAACCAACATATTTTGTTTCACTTTTTCCAGGGAAAAGGAAACCCTAAGTCAACTTAAAAGTCATGAGAGGAGGGGGCTTTTCAAGATGGTGGAGGAGTAGGAGGACATGGAGTTCATCTCTCTCCACAAATGCATCAAGAATACATCCACAGGGCTTCCCTGATGGCACAGTGGTTGAGAGTCCGCCTGCCGATGCAGGGGACGCGGGTTCATGCCCCGGTCCGGGAAGATCCCACATGCCGCGGAACGGCTGGGCCCATGAGCCATGGCCGCTGAGCCTGCACATCCGGAGCCTGTGCTCCACAGCGGGAGAGGCCACAACAGTGAGAGGCCCGCGTACCGAGAAATAAAAAAAAGAAGAATACATCTACAGATGCAACAATTCTCACAGAACACGGGCTGAACACTAGTAGAAGACCTTGGACACCAGAAAGGACAATAAAGATGCCTGCATAACCAGGCAGGATGAAAGAAAGGGAGAAAGAAGAGGAGAGGAAATGGGATGGAACCTGCTCCCCAGTTGGGGAGCTGAAGCAGAAGAGAGGTTCCCACATCTGGGGAAGCCCCCTCACCAACAGAGAAATTGGTTGGGACAGAAGCGAAGCACCTGAGCCTGTCAGAGGAGGGTGGAACGGCCAGTCTGTGGCAGAGAGCACAGAGTGAGACCTACACAGACAGTCCATGCAACAGCACTGCATGCCCCACACTGGGACATGTGTCCACTGGTGCGCACGGCGGTGGGAGCTGGAGCATGGGGATTGGAGTACAAACCCAGGAGGAGTACTATTGTTGGCTGCAAGGAGACAGCCGATGGGGATGGGAGGGAGGAAATATGCAACTGGGAATGCCTGTAGAGGAAACCTGGACTGCCATGGAAGCAAGGCACCACTGTTGAGTGACATGCAGGGGATGCAGCCACCGCTGCAGCCTCTCTCCCCACACACCAGCCCCTGCCCATCCCCGCAGGTGCTAGGAGAGGGCCCTGACAGGGCTGGCCCTCGCGCACCTGCCACTGGGCACTAGAAAACGCTCACACTAGGCCAGATCTCTTGTGCCTGTGGCTGCCACTTCCCTGCACATCTGTCGCCACTGGAGCTACTGCGACCCAGGCAGCCATGCCACCTCCACGCCCTGTCCTCACTGGGGCAGGCCCAAGTGCTCCAGGGCAGCCTAGGGAGCAGAATCCTGTGGGTGGCCCACATGCAGAAGTGGGGCTAAAATCACAGCTGAGCCCCAGGGGCAGGGTGACTAAGGAAGAGGAACAAAAATCTTTCCATCAGTTGCACAAGCTACACATTAAGGCCCTGTGATCAGCTTCGTAGACCCTGCATCTATGGATCTGAATGGACAATGAGTGTTCCCACAAATGAAACTGGTCTAGCTCTGGTAGCTGTGGACTTTGGGGGCAAGCACACGCATGAGCTGGGCCAGATCAGAGTCTGACCTGTCCTCCAGTGCCCACAGCAGGTCGAGAGACCAACCTAGAGGCACTGGAGGGCCTACTGGGGAGGTGGAGGTGGGCTGTGGCTCAGAGCAGGGGCTAGCACAATGACAGCTGAGACCCCAGGAAAATATTATTATTACTATTATTATTATTATGTTTTGATTTGTTCTGTTGCTGGCTTTGTTTTTTGTAATTATTATTTTTATTTAGTATTTTGGGGGGTTTTAGGTTTGTTTGGTTTTTCTCTGGTTTTTTTTCTTCCTTTTTATAATTTTGTTAATTTTTTTGTTTTTATTTTTAATTGTTCTGTTTTTTTCCTTTTCTTTGTTCTATTTTGTTTTTATCTTTTTTCCCTCTTTCTGTTTTTTCTTTTAATCCTTTTTTAATTGTTTTTGTGTGTCTGTTTTTGTTTGCTTTATTCTTCAGTTTGCATTCTGTTTTAGTTTTGTTTTTTGTTTTCTGTTTGTGTTAGTTTTGTTTTTAATTGTTTGATTTCATTTTGGGGTTCTGTTTGTCTGGTTGTTCTCTTGGATTTTGTTTTCTTTGGTTTTGTTTTTGTTTCTTTTTGTGTGTGCATGAGTTTGTTTTCATTTTTGTTTGGTTGGTTTTGCTTTTACCATTTGGAGTTTTGTTTGTTTTTTGGTTTTATTGCTGTTGTTGCTATTTGTTTCTGTATTTGCTATTTCTCTTGGGTTTTGTTTCTCTTTTTGTTTTCTCCCCCCACCCCTTTTTTTTCCCTTTATTGCTGTGATGTGTGGCTTGTGGGGTCTTGGTTCCCCAGCTGGGGGTCAGGCCAGAGCCTCGGGGAAGGGAGCACTGAGTCCAGGATGCTGGACTGCCAGAGAATTCCTGACCCCAAGGAATGTTAATTGATGAGACCTCTCCCAGAGGTCTGCATCTTGAATACAAGACATGGCTCTACCCAACTGCCTGCAGGCTCTAGTGCTGGATTCCTCACAGCAAACAACAAGCAAGACAGGAACACAAAACCACCTATTAGCAGACAGGCTGCCTAAAGTTGTGCTAAGCTCACAGACACCCCAAAACACACCACCTGACATGGCCCTGCTCATCAGAAGGACAAAATCCAGCTCCACCCACGAGAACACAGGCACCAGTCCCTCCCACCAGGAAGCCTACACAAGCCACTGGACCAACCTCACCCACCAAGGGCAGACACAAGAAGCAAGAGGAACTATGACACTTCAGCCTGTGGAAAGAAGACCTCAAACACAGTAAGTTAGACAAAATGAGAAGACTGAGAAATATGTTGCAGAAGAAGGAGCAAGGTAAAAACCCACAAGACCAAATAAATGAAGAGGAAATAGGCAGTCTACCTGGAAAAGAATTCAGAGTAATAACAGTAAAGATGATCCAATTCTGTTAAACAGAAATGTTTAACAAGGACCTAGAAGAACTAAAGAACAAACAAACTGTGATGAACAACACAATAACTGAAATTAAAAATAAACTCGAAGGAATCAATAGCAGAATTACTGAGGAAGAAGAACAGATAAGTGACCTGGAAGATACGATGGTGGAAATAACTGCCATGGAGCAAAATAAAGAAAAAAGAATGAAAAGAAATGAGGACAGTCTCAGAGACCTCTGGGACAACATTAAAGGCACCAATGTTCAAATTATAGGGATCCCAGAAGAAGTAGAGAAAGTGTCTGAGAAAATATTTGAAGAGATCATAGTAAAAAACTTCTCTAACATGGGAAAGGAAATAGTCAATCACGTCCAGGAAGCACAGACAGTCCCATACAGGATAAATCCAAGGAGAAACAGGCTGAGACACATATCAATCAAACTAACAAAAATTAAGCACAAAGGAAAAATACTAAAAGCAGCAAGGGAAAAGCAACAAATAACATACAAGGGAATTCCCATAAGGTTACCAGCTGATTTTTCAGCAGAAACTCTGCAGGCCAGAAGGGAGTGACAGGATATATTTAAAGTGATAAAAGGGTAAAATCTACAACCAAGATTACTCTACCTGGCAAGGATCTCATTCAGATTTGATGGAGAAATCAAAAGCTCTACAGAAAAGCAAAGCTAAGAGAATTCAGCACCACAAAACCAGCTTTACAACAAATGCTAAATGAACTTTTCTAGGCAGGAAGCACAAGAGAAGAAAAAGACCTACAAAAACAAACCCCCAAAAATTAAGAAAATGGTAATAGGAACATACATACTGATAATTACCTTAAATGTAAATGGATTAAATGCTCCAACCAAAAGACACAGATT